AAGGCGCGTGGGGCCATAATTCCGACGTGGCAGTTATGTAATCTGCCACACGGTTGACATATACATACTTCGTTCCTTTATTACTCCCTCGGTAGTAAGTCTTTTTACATCAGTACTTTAGTCCGTGCTCACGACCTGGACCCTTTTTAGATATTAGGGAGTAATTTTATTAGGACAGTAAAATTTTACTTATTCCCAGCCCTCTCACGACCCGAGGGCCTCTTTGATTCGCACTTTTCGCCGGATTCTCAAAACACGGGAACAAGCAGAATGTAGGAGTAGAATATCATAATAGTTCAACTTTCTGCAGCCCCTTTGATTTTCGGTTTGTTACAAGGGGTAATAATAGTTCAACTTTCTGCGGCCAGAAAACACATACAATCATATTATTACCCCTACCTGATTTGAAGAAGAGTTTGATAGCACAGAAAAACAAAGGAATTCTATAAAAAAAAGTTTGAGTGGATGAAAACTTTTCTCCAAAGTGTAGTACAAATGAATCTTATGGAAAAAATCCTAAGGATTCCAATCCTACAAATAAAATGACCATTACAGAAACCTCGCAAAAAAAAATGACCATTACAGGAAAAAATCGTAAGGCGCGTGGGGCCATAATTCCGACGTGGCAGTTATGTAATCTGCCACACGGTTGACATATACATACTTCGTTCCTTTATTACTCCCTCGGTAGTAAGTCTTTTTACATCAGTACTTTAGTCCGTGCTCACGACCTGGACCCTTTTTAGATATTAGGGAGTAATTTTATTAGGACAGTAAAATTTTACTTATTCCCAGCCCTCTCACGACCCGAGGGCCTCTTTGATTCGCACTTTTCGCCGGATTCTCAAAACACGGGAACAAGCAGAATGTAGGAGTAGAATATCATAATAGTTCAACTTTCTGCAGCCCCTTTGATTTTCGGTTTGTTACAAGGGGTAATAATAGTTCAACTTTCTGCGGCCAGAAAACACATACAATCATATTATTACCCCTACCTGATTTGAAGAAGAGTTTGATAGCACAGAAAAACAAAGGAATTCTATAAAAAAAAGTTTGAGTGGATGAAAACTTTTCTCCAAAGTGTAGTACAAATGAATCTTATGGAAAAAATCCTAAGGATTCCAATCCTACAAATAAAATGACCATTACAGAAACCTCGCAAAAAAAATGACCATTACAGGAAAAAATCATAAGGATCCAAATCCTGTAAAAATCCTATGAAATTCCTTTGGATCAAAGGAGCCCTGAACCTTTCTGGTTGTCCATTCTGTTGATTTGATAATTTATGTCTGTGCCCTCGAAGAAAAATTCGAGTCCTGTGATAAACTGGGCCAGACAACCTATTTTGGCCTCCTTTGGTTCACAAGGTAGGAAAATTATAGGAATGGAAGAGTTGTAGGAAATGAGATGACATGCATCTCAAATCTTATGAGTAGGAATAGTAAAGGAGATATCCTTTGTTTCACATCATAGAATTTTTTCCATTGAGTCTAGACTAATGTTTATTTTCCTATGAAATGTGGAGGATAGAAAGATTTTCTCAATAAAAATATGATTCCATTCCTACAAACCAAAGAGCTCTATAGGAATTTTTTCTATAAAAATCCTACCCTATGAAATTCCTACAAAATTCCTCCAAATCAAAGGAGGCCTTTATCTACCCGCAAAAAAAAACCATTTATCTAAGAGCGGTGCTATATGGACGATAGTTCATACCCTATATGTAGACGATGGTTGCGGTATGACCCTACGACATTTGGGCAAAGGAAGACCAGATCGTTGGATTTACTATCTTGCAAAAAACATAATGTGTGTAATATTTTCGTTTAACAAAAAGGGTCAAAACGTGATTTCGACTGCTCTGGCCACTAATACAAGAAAACCCCAACCTCGATCGACGCATGGTGCATCTGAGATCGCTCTATATAATTTTTGATCTCTTTTTCTCGCCTAGTCGTGTGTGCCGTCTCGACTCTCAAGTCACCGGTCTGAGAGGAGGCCGGCCAGATCGCACCACTGTCCTTGCGCGCCCACTGACCACCACAAGTCTGCGATGTCGACGCAATTCCAGGCTGACTGACCGGAGAAGAGACTTGACAACGAGATAGTAATTGGTTGCTATATCCAACCGGTCAGGTAA